CTTCAGTTTCTCAAATCTCTTCTTTGCAGATGCACAAGCCTGTTCGATGTTGTCTGCGTCGAAATGTCCTTCTTGGACCATTTGATCTCCCGTGGCGCACATATCCGAGATCTTCCTCTCCATGTTGTTCATCTCATTCTCCAGGTTCTGTTGGTTATTAAGCAGATCCTTGCACGAGCGGAGGTCATGCCCGACGTCCTTGTTGTTGAGAGCATTCTCCAGGGCGTCAAGAGCCTTCCCGGTCTCCTCCAGGTCTTTGTTGTAGATGTGCTGGCTGTTGGCCTGACGGAGCTTCATGCCCTTCTCTTCCGTCTTGCTGCATAGGTCCTTCCACTTCTGGTTGAGGTCGTCCAGCGTCTGGCGGATATCATCCGACTGGTAGTGTTTGAGCCCGATCAGGTCCTGGCCGGTCTTGTTCAGGCGTCGCAATTGGCCTTCGTTGGCATGGAGCTCCCTCTCGAAGGCCTCGTGTTTCTGCAGCTTACGTTCAAGGTTGCTCAGGTCTCTGTAGGATTCGTCATCAGCCAATTTCTTCTTATCTGACATCCATTTGTCAAAGTCGTCAGAGTCTGCCTTGAACTGCTGATAGGCCATCGAGCCATTCAGCTGCTCTCGCCGAGCCAGGGCACGTTCCTTGACAGCAGCTCGCCTGCCGTGCACCTGCACGATGTATAAGACAAAAATTAACTTAAAAGAACAGTTCCCAGCAGAATGATGCAAAATGCAATATGAATATGAATTAGTATTAATCCAAATATGTGTATGTATATATATATCCCTTAACATCAGACTGAAAATTGTAGGCTATATGGATAAAATTATAACATATTTCCCATCTACACCTACCTGATCTCTCCGCTCATTTATGTACTTAGCATCGTAATGTTCAGCAGCAATGAGCTTGTCTGCCATCTCGCTGAACACTCGCAGTCTTTCGTCCTGAGCCATCAAGGTGTTCTCGAAATCGTCATGTCGTTTCAGGAGCGCTTCTACGTCATCAAGGGTACTCTGTAAAAGGCACAGTGATTCCTTCACCTATCACCAGTAAAAAATAACCCATCAAGGTTATGTGGAATGTAAACCACCAAAATACGTTCAACATAATGATCACAACTATAAATATATATCAATCAACTCACCCCAAGGTCTTTGTAATCAAGGAAGGTCTCATGAGAGCTTGTGGCAGCATCGATCTGATCAGCCTCCCTGTTGAAGAGCTGGAGGTCCATGCACTGCCGCAGCCAGTCGCCTTTCTCCTGCCAACCACGGTGGATTGCTCTTTGCTCCTCCCCAAGCTGAGCCATCTGTAAAAAGAAAATATATATTGTGAGATCAACTACAGAAATTTGCTATAAATGAACGTGGTTGAGAAAATCAATGAAAGTGTACGTATAATTAACTCAACAAGGATGGAACCAGGTTTCGGATAATTAAAAAACCAAAAATCAGATAATATATACACCATATTATGGGCGATAGATGATATGCTACGTGATAAACGCAGGACTCAAAGTACAGACCTTTTCTTTCACTTCACCAAAGTCTGGGTTTCTTTTCAGGAGCTTTTCTCCAAGTTGGCCAAGCTCATTGAATTCATCCTGATGGGCCCTGATGTCATCCCCAAGGTCTTGGTGACTCTTCAGCAGGTGTTCTGCAGTTGTTACGTCACGTGCTGGCTCGTCGGAGTTCAGGGCATTTTTAACATCACCCACCCAGTTCAGCAAGCTCTGTAGATGGGGAAAGGCGAATATGTTACATATTCTTCAGATATACTGCACGATCTATAATTATTTCCAAGACAGAGGATTGAATTGGGGTATGCACTCACCTTGGCAGAGTTGAGGAAGATCTGTTGTCCCACAGCTTCTTCCAGACGGTTTCTCCTCTCCAGTGCTTTTCCTTTGAGTTGTCCCCAATACTGCTGAATCTCCTCCTGTCGGTCCTCTACAGCATGCCTCTCGCGGGGGTATGACGCTTTCACTGAATCGGCGAGAAGGTTAACTCGGCGCACCTGGGGAGAGGAAAATCGGAGTGATAATTATTTTAGTATACGACAATCACAAGATCTTTATGTCTACTTCCAATTATTGATAATATTATATGGCTGAAGATATGAAATCTACACATTTAGTAGCACCAAATATACAAAATATTCTATATGCATTTATTACTGATGATTTACCTTTTCTTCTACTGGCGCCAGTTCTCTCTCTAACTGGTCGTGCTTCCGCTGAAGAGACTGCACTGTTTTCAAGTCTCTTCCCAGTTCATCCGTGTCTAGTTTCTCCATTTTCTCGACCATCCAGTCCCTGGTCTCGTCGCACGTGCGATGGAACAGCTCCACGCTCGAGGCGCCCTCCAGACTTCGCTCCTTCTGCTGTTTGAGGCGGTTGAGGTGGGCCCACTGGTCCTGGATCTGCTTGTGGCGGTTCTTGATCTTCTCCAGTTGGCTGTGACCCGAGGCCACGAAGTCCTTCACCATCTTGTCAATGATCTCGATCCTGCGACTCGCAGCCGACAGATCTGTCAAGAACTGCTCGAACTTCTTCTTGGCGGCATCGACGGTATCGCCCTTGTCGTCCGTCTTCAGGAGCTTCTCCTTCTCCCGCATCCACAGCTCAAAGCCTTGGCACTCGCTGAAGAAGGAGTAGAGCTTGATGGATTCCTCCAGGTAGAGGTGACGCTTCTGCGCAAGGTCGCACAGCTGGTTATAAGAGGAGTTGATCAACTGTAGCCGCTTCTCAACTGTCTCCGGCTCCTCTACTACCTTCTTGCTTCGAGCTGAAAACACACAAGACGGACAAATAACCAAGGGGAACATAACAAACTGATGCGATTATACTAACACACACACACACACACACACACACACACACACACACACACACACACACACACACACACACACACACACACACACACACACACACACACACACACACACACACACACACACACACACACACACACACGCATGCACGCACGCACACGCACACGTAAAAAATGCACAACAAAACCTACGAGGCGCCTTGGGTTTCCTCTTCTTGACTTTGACGGTCTGTTTGACCATCTTGGTTTTGGGCACCATCTTCTTCTTGGGAACACGCACTTCCTTCTTGACGTGGACGTTGATCTTCTTGGGCTGGCCTTCTCGCACGTAATTGGCTGGCACGAAGCCCTCGTCTCCGTTGGCCTTCCTCACGTTCCACCAATCATCGTTCGTTTTGCTCAACAGGAACAAGACCTGAAGGAGAAATCGTGAAATAGAAGTTATTCTCATATTCAGGAAGCAATGTCAAATATTCATAAAATAAGATATGTAAAAATAAACAAATAAACATTTACTTTTGAGTCTTAGCTAAATAGCATATTGCAATTATTACATAAAGGGAAAAGACTTCAAAACAACCATATCATTAATAACAACACGATCACCTTGGCAATATTAACAGCAATATGAACACCACGAGAACCACTACTAACCTCTCGCTTGGCCATGTGCATGCCCTGGCCCTCGAAGTCATACCTCGCGACCACCGTGGGCACTTCCCTCACTTCCATGACCGTCACTTCTTCCACATCGTCAACCACTTCTTCCACCGTGACCTCCTGCGGGACCATCTTCACCTCGTCCACCCACTCGAACTCTTCCTCGTCCTCTGCTGGGATCTGCTGCTGGGACGTGATCTGCGGGGAGGAATGGTCGAGTAGTTATTTTGGTTTCCGTTGAGCCTGACAGACGTCTTGCGTGGTCGACGGCGAGGAAATACGTCTACTTGCCAATGTAAGCTATACTAAAGCGTCTACAATGTATAGGAGTCATCTCTGGTAACCCAAAAGTATTTGTATAAGATTACGCATAATCAAATATTATATAAAAATGTTATATATAAAAAACGAAGACTCAGATGGCAATCTAAAACTTACATTCAGCGAGGATATGCCCGACTTGATGAGCTTCTGGCCTTGGGCATTGACAGCCTTGACGTCCCCATCGTAGGCCTTGATCTCCTCCTCCATGCGGACGTGCAGCTGAAGGAGAGCCATGCCGCTGGGCTCGTCTTCTCCGTAGTCCTTGGACTGGCAGAGTGGCAGCTTCTCCTTTATCCACGATTCGACCTCGTTGGCGTCGGCGTTGAACTGTGGAAGGAGAACGTTTTGTGGTTTGAAGAAAGGCACTTCGGTTGCATTACCTTTTTAAAAATTAAAATATAGCAATATGAGCGATGCAGCCTAGTACTAATCTCTATTAGTATTATTCACAAAGGAAAAAAACAAAAACATGAACACCCCAATACTGCCAATGTTGCAGCCACACCACCCGCTCTCAGCCATCAACCGGGCGTTCCTCCTCCCTCACCGAGCAAGCCTCCGCTGCATCCTCCAGCTGCCTCCTCCTCTCGGCCGCGTAGTGCTCCAGGCCCTTCCACTTGTCCTTGAGGGCGGCGATGCGCTCGCTTATAGCTTTGGCCTCGGGATGGTCGGCCTTGAGCATGGCTTCGCCCGAACGCATGATCTTCTCTGACTTGGGTCGTCGGGCTCGCATCTCGTCCTCGAGAGCCTGGTCGAGGGTTAAACGGTGGTTGTTTCTGATTACGAGGTCTCTTTAGTGGTCTTGTATTATCATTGTTACTTGGTATGTCATATGTTTGAGATAAGATTCACCTTGATACTGCAATATAAGCTTTAAAATAAGAAAATATTAAAGATGGAAATAATTTGGGTATATAAGTAGAAACCAAAATGCATTTCTTTATAAGATTTAAAAAAAAGCGGAATATAGCATATAGCCATAAACCCTCTGAAATTCGTTGATCAAGTCTTACTCCTTAGAGCTGATAAAACATGCAATACTACTACTACATCGAGATTAGACACCTTGAATCTATCCAGACATATATGCAAATAAACCTTCAAATCTAGCATCTTTCTTGCCAACTGGTGTAGTAGCAACACCAGATAATGTATATAAAAAAACATATATATCTCATTTTACCATCCAAACTACGGACATCTTTAGAAATTAATAAAAACAAGCGAGTAAATAAAGCAATCCACTGAAGCGAAAACATCGCATAAACGTGACAGAGCTATGCCTTGTTCCTGACTAGAAGGATGCCAGCTTTTTGTGATAGGACATGCAGTATACATCCGCAGATAAACATTACCTTCAAAAACAGGGCTTCCTGGTACGGTGTAAGGTTACGGTGAGTAGCAGTGTTAATGAAGTGTTACACCACAGTAGCAGAGAGGGAGGGGAAGGGGAGTGGAGATACCATGGGAAAAGAAAGCCATTATCTTTATCAGGCAGAATATGCATGGATGAACATTTCGTACAGGAAGAGCTATGCTACAGGTTATACTGGAGAGTCCCCTTGTACATCATGCAAAGAGACAAGTTTTGTGGTTAGGAAACCAGTGCAGTGTGTTACGTGAAGATATAGTGATGTAAATGTTACTCATATCTGTAAGGAGAAGTCCCATAGAAATATTTACATAAAGTGGTATAAAATGCATTCCATCTTTCACCCCAGTCAAAGATTACATATCAAGTATATATACAGATTGATAAATATAATACAATAGTACTGTTTGTATACGAAACAAACTAATACAGACAAGACATGCATACATATATACACACATACATATTCACAGAAAAGAACACGCTCACCCTCACGCGCAGGCATACACGCATGTGCAAGCACACGCTCACGCACGTAAACGGTCACACTAACACATGTAAATGTATTAAAACATGCAATTGCTACCATCACACAAGATGGACAAGTAGGTAATAAGAAAGCATTCTCTTTAATTCTATGTTGGAAAGGAACACCCCAACACTATACACCCGACGTTTTTTAAGAAAGGTAGTCATGCAGTGTAAAAATATAATGCTAAATGACTTTCAACTATATACAAGTCCCAGAACAAATACGTCTAAAATTCCATAAAATATAACGTCTACATGGTATCAAAAGGTTGCAAGTCAAGGGAGTTCTGCTTCTCGTAGTTGTGCTGGTCGAAAAATATTCACAAACTCATACTAACTTTACTAATCACTTGTAATGATAACAAATCTAACCAGCCCTAAATACACGTAAGAGCTCCCCCCTCCTGAGGGAAAGGAGGGAGCCAAACTTGACTCCCGTTACCTTGTGTTTCTGCTGCAGTGACAGGACTGCCCTGATGTCCTTGGCAGTGACGCCCGCCTGACAGATCCTCTGCTTCTCGATGACCCAAGCTTCCTCCTCCTCCATGTCGACCTCGAACTGGAACAGATCCCTGGCCTCCTCGAGTCTCGCCCTGCGCTCGGCCGCCTTCTTGAGGAGAGCCTCGTGCCCCTTGTTGAGGTCCTGGAGTCTCTTCTGGAGGACGGGCGCGTCCTTGTGTCCCGTGCTGATGAAGGCCTCGCCCTGTTTGTTCAGCCTCTTGATCGTCTCTCCCATCGAGTGAACCTGCGACTCCATCAGCGCGTGCTTCTGCAGCAGGTCCTCCACTGCCAGTAAGTGACGACCTACATCGTCTGAGCAGAAGCTCACCTGGAGGAGAAAAGTAATTTTCCATTAATGTATTTCACATTTAAATCAAATAAAAGCACCAATCAGAACCAACACATTTTCGTGCATGTGTCACAGAAAAAAGGAAATCTCACTCACCTCCAGTTCTCGGATAGATGCAGTAATGGTGTCTACTTCTCTCATGATCGCCACGAGGTCGCAGCAGTTCTGAAGGTGAACCTTGTGTTTGTTAAGAAGATCCAACAGTTCACTCCACTTCTTCAAGATGTCCTTTTCCTTCTTTCTGATGGCGTCCTTTCCACGGTAATTCTCAGCGTCCAATTCATCAGCCATTTTTGTGAGATCTTCAAATCTCTCTTGCTGCAATAAAAAATATAATGAAGAAACTACATACAAAATATAAATGTAGTACCTCATAATGCATTATTACAATCCAGTATATGTAAGACCATAGAATATAAATAAGATTACACAGATGGCATTCACGGCACGTACCCGAGCCAAAATATCAGCGCTGATTGCTTCGTGTTTCTTGACAGTGGCTTCCACCTGAGCCAGGTTGCTGCCGTAACGAGGGTCACTCAAGACCTGAATCATCTCCTCCAGGTATCCCCTTCGTAGCACGCTCTGGAAATAATTTTTATTGCAATAAATGCGCCTATTCCACGTGTATCTAAAGAAGCTTTGTCTAATTAACCAATCAATAAACCATGACGTCTGCTAGATTGAGTTATAATACACTATACTAACAATCTAAAGAACTCTAAAACAACCAACACTATTCTTCCCCATTACCTTCTTGTCAAATTTGTAAGCCAGCTGCTCCAGCCTCTCCTGCCGAAGTAGCTCCTCCCTGAGAGCGACCTCCCTGTGGTGCTCGGCCTTCTCCAGTCTGTTCCACTCTCGCTCGATGTCGTGAACCATCTGACCGTCCTTTGGGGTGTATGCAGGCTGGTTCAGGGCTTTCAGGCTCGCGTTGATGGAGAAAAAGAGGGCCTCGATCTCGCTTCTTTCCTTGTACCTAAAATGAGGAAATAGGGAGAGTTTTGGATTTAGTTTCTTACAAGACTGAATCCGTCGTGTCCAAATTAGAGTGATTTATTTTTGTGTACTTTGTCATCAGTATTATTCAGTCCGGTCCAGGCCACTACTTCCAGACAAGAACCAATTTCTCTTTTCACTGCACTTACTTGGGAGGCTTCTCTTCCGTTCTGTACTTCTTGAACTGCAACAACAACTTCTGGATGCCATCTAGAGAGTTGGGGAATTCTCTGCTGTCCAATTCGACGATCTTCATGAGGATCCACTCCAACAGCGTGCTGGTGATCTTCTCGTATTTCATCTTGCTGTCGTCTACATCCTTCATCTGGTTCATGATCTGTGCAAAAAGGAGGGAAGAATTAGTATTAACGACGCTAGCAAGGGTTATTTCTTATCTTAAATATCTCCCTCATCTTAGTTATAGTATAGTTACCGGGAATAAGATAAAGACGCATTACGATAAAAAAAAAACAAGCGTAACAATGGAGATGCCATTATCAATATAACACAACAGAAAGGCAGCATGTTGTGCCCATGTACTTACATTGGCAATTCTCTTCGAGCCCTTCAATTCATTCTTCATGCGGGCGAAGGTGTGGTAGTACGAAGCCACGTAAGTAATGATAGACTTCTCATCGGGTTTGTTGGTGTCCACATCTACGAAAAAAAATGGACAAGTGTTGGTAAAAAAATTAAATAAAATATATATACATATAGATATACATATACATACATATATATATATATATATATATATATATATATATATATATATATATATATATATATATATATATATATATATATATATATATAAATATAAATCAACCGCCGCTCTCAGTACTGAAGTCTTTATGATAACCGCAAACAATATTTACAATAGCCGAAATCTAAACCCAAAATGAGAAACACATAAAACCCACCCATTCCAAAACTCACCTTCAGCATCCAGGATCTTGGCGATGCCCAGCTCGTCGTGGGCAACGTTGAAAGCATTGTTGAGGTTGTGAATGTGGTTCTTCGCCACCAGGCTGTTGTAGTCGATGATGTCCGGACGGTGGGCGTGGATGAGGGCGTTGAAGCCCAGGCCGTCTCTCCATGATCCTAGGGGGTGATAATGCGTATAAATGTCGAGTTCTTTTAGGCAAGTAATTTAAGTTCCATGTACGAACACATTTTCGTTTAATAATTATGCTGAGGATGTAGGAATCGAATGGTCTTTAGTGACTGCTATAACTTCCCTTTAGCACTTTCAATACCATTTTTTTGGTCCCTTCTTTAATTCTTCCTCAATTTAAATTTGATAAGGACTCGCAACTCCTAATCAGAGTCAGAGTCCAATCAGTTTCTGCTCCGATGAATCTAGATGTTAAACCAAGCGAGACCAAACGCTAAACGCCAAAGGCCAAATCAGACAAAAAAAAAAAAAAAAAAAAATCTAAAATTTAAATCACAAATTAATTCAAATCTTAAACCCCATGAACCTCAGCATGAAATTCCATAGACATCCACAAATGCAAATTCTGACCCTCAAACGATCCCAGACTCAGAATTCCCAGTTTTTGAATAAAACGATTTCAGACTTAGACCCTCCCCGCAAATTCCAGACTTCGAATAAAACGATTCCAAACTCAAAAATCAAAAAAAAAAAAAAAAAAAAAAAACTATATCAGAGTTTGAACCTCCGAACAGCAGTTTCGAACCCCAAACGAATCCCAGACCAAGAACCCCCAAGAACTCACGCGAAAAGTCCTCGATGTTGACGCCCCTGTACCCTGCCGTCTTCCTCTGGCACCAAAGCAGCAGGGCATCTTTGGCGGATTTCTTCTCGCTGCTTTCGTTCTCTTCGTCCTGGAAGCAAGACGCGGTTTAATATCCTTTCAATAATCACGAATGGAAGGAGGAAGATGAGGATGGATAGAAAATAGTAAGGATAGGAGAAGGGAAATCGTTTTTTTTTTTTTAGGAATTTTTAAATGCTATATGGAATACCTGTGCTACGCATTTTGACTTTCGACTAGCAAAAATAAATAAATAAATAAATAAATAAATAAAAATAAAACAATCCAGTGACAGACTCTACGCATTACTTTGATTTTAATTATTTTTCTTAATTTCAAGTGATACATCAAAAAACATATAGCTAAGCCTTTTTATCAATATGGCAGTAATGTGAAGAAAACTCTCAAGCTTTGATTACAATATATTGCAATGACTACAAAATAAAACGTATGAGGAGGGAAATAACTGAAATAAATATAAAGATTAAGATTACAAGTAGAAAAAATATGAAACACAAAGATTACTGATAAGGAGGATTGACAGGAAATAAAAGGACAAAAATATGAAGAAAAAAAAGGTAAATTCACACCGACAATACAGAGAAGAGAAAAGCACAAGACATGAGAGCGAGGAAGAGAACGAAAGGAAAACAAGGAACTAACGAAAGATAAGAACCGAAAGACAAAACAAGCCAACGATAACATACACACAACATACACCGAAATACAAAGCAAATAAAACACAAAACATACAATAAAACGAAGACCACGGGACTATGCAAGGGAAAGTGTGACAAAAGCAAAGCGAAAAAGAGCGCGGATCGGGTGGCGGGCGAGGCAGGGCTGGCGGGCCGACGACAGGGCGCTGAGCAGAGAGGCGCGTCGCTCCACCGGTAGAGCATGGCGAACCTGGTCAAGACGCCACCAGACATTACCTGCCTTCAGAGTCCCTCCCTCCCTCCCTCCCTCCCTCCCTCCCTCCCTCCCACACCCACTCACTCACTCACTTACTGCCTCCCTCCTCCCCCTTCCATTTCCTTTTCCTTTCTCTTCCTCTCCCCCCATATCCTCTCTCGTTCCTTTTCCTTTTATCTTGTTCTCTCTAGGTTTCATTTCATTTCCTTTCTTTCACTCCCTTTCGGTTTCATTTCAACTTTCTTACTTCCTTTCCCTATCCTTTCAACTATCTTACCTCCTTTCCCTATTCCATCCCCCGCCTCCTTTCCGTCTCTTTATTCCTTTCTATCTCCCCATTCTTTCCCTTCCTCATTCGCTTTTCCCTTCTAGACATTCATGGAGATATACATGCATAAACACGCATGTGTGGAGAGGTGGGTGGGGATTGTGGGTGGGTGTGTACATAGATCATTAAAACATCGTTAGACTGTGTCCTCTCTCTCCTGTCCCACCCTCCCTTCTCCCTCATTCCATTTTACCCCTTCCTCTCCCCCCATTCTCTACCTTCTTTCCCTTCCTCCTCTCTCTTCCTTCCCTCCTCTACTCTTCCTTCTTTTCATCCCTTCTCCTTCTCTCTTCCAAGCTCCACTTCTGCCATTCTCACCCTTTCCTATTCCTTCCCTCTCTCACCTGACTCCCTACCTTCCTCCCTTCCTTCCTTTCTTCCTTCCTTCCCATAACACCCCCTTATATTCCCTCTTTCTCTTTCCCTTCCAATCCCCCTGGACGACTCGCCGCTCGAGTGACCTTTGTACCCGAGAGGTCAGGCAACGAGGGGCCAGGTCTTCGTTGATTAGGAGACCAAGAAGTGCTTCTCCCTCTCCCTCTTTCTCTCCCTCTCCCTTTCTATCTCCCTCTCCCTTTACCTCCCACTTTCCCGATTCTCCCTTTAACCTACTCCTACGTCCTTTGCCTCCCCCCTTATTCCCCCTCCCCCTCGCCTTATTTTTCCGAATTCCCTTCTTCCTCCTTCCTCTCTTCTTCCACACATCCGCCTCACACACACACATACAAACAATTCTACATTCACACACAAACAAACACTGTACCTGGAGGAAACAAATACTGACACGCGTCATGAGATCATCTGCCCATGTTCATACTGACTAATTGGGAGGAGGAGGAGGGGGGGGAAGGGAGGAGGAGGAGGAGGAAAAGGAGGAGGAGGAAAAGGAGGAGGAGGAGGAGGAGGAGGAGGAGGAGGAGGAGGAGGAAAGGAGGAGGAGGAGGAGGAGGAAGAGGAGGAGGAAAGAAGGAGGAGGAGGAGGAGGAGGAGGAGGAAAGAAGGAGGAGGAGGAGGAGGAGGAGGAGGAGGAGGAGGAGGAGGAGCAGGAGAAGGAGAAAGAGAAAGAGAAAGAAAAAGAGAAGAAGTAGTAGTAGAAGTAGAAGTAGGAGGAGGAGGGGAGACACAGGCCTACTCACCACATCAATTTCGATCTCCTGAATCTGGAATCGGAGAATGATGGTCCAGATGAGGCCGAGAATCAGGCGTGGATTCCCGTCTACGATGTCCTCGGCGCCGATGCTCTCCAGTCGGACCTGTTCGTTAAAAGAAGATGGTCGTTAGATGGTGTACAATAAGAGGAAAGAGATGTTTGCTTAAAAAAATGAAGTGGTCGTTATATAGCGTTTTCGTTAGAAAAAGGTGGTTCTTAGAGGGGTTACCATAAAGGGGGGAAAAGTGTTCGTTAAGAGAGAGAAAGAAAAAAAAAAAGATCGCTATAGTGTGTGTTCGTTATAGGGTGTTTATTATGGGGAGCGATGTTCGTTGGAGAAAAGTGATCTTTTAATGGGTGTTCGTTATGAGAAAGAGGCCTTCGATAAAGAGCGTGCGTTAAAATCTCCAATGACTCTTTATGTGTTAATGTGTTAATTAACGCATGGTAATTAGGTAAATACAAGAAAACATTTTCATATGATATAGATCATTTAAAAATTGGTAACAGTTTTGATGCGATATAAAGGTTATTTTGATATTACACAAAACAGCAATACATATTAATTTGTTTGTGATCAAAACCTCCACAATTGTTATTGATGATGATGATGATATAAGAGTATTAGTAATAATAATTAAATAATAATAATAATACCAATAATGACAACAAAAATAATAATAATAAGAAGAATAATAGTAATAATAATAATAACACTAATAATAGTAACAGTAACAATAATATCAATATCAATAAAATAATAATAATAATAAGAAGAACAACAACAACAACAACAGCAGCAACAACAACAATAGTAAAACATATCCCTGCACACAAAATTTGTGCAATTCGATAAAACGAAGTACGTCTCTCGTCTATTCATTACACTACGTCTCTAATCTTCAAACAAACAGACAGGCAATAAATACAAGACTTATTTGGCAAATTTAGCTGAAAAGACCAGAACAAAATACACACATGGCTTTTCCAGGTCACTACTCTTAAAGGAAGGGTGACTCAGTTGTAGCTGCTTTCCTCTCTTCCTCTCCTCTTTTCTCCTCTCTTTACTCTTCTTCCTATGCCCTATCCCCTTTCTCTTTCACTTTGTTTTCCTTAACTCTTCACTCCCGTTCCTGTGTCCGATACCCTTTTTCCTTCACTTTAGTTTCCTTTTCTTTTCTTCTCTCTCCTCTTGCTATGAATTACCCTTTCTTTTCTTCCACGTCTCTTCCTCTCTATCCCCTCTCTTCCTTCCCTTCTCACCTCTGCCCTTTTATCATTCCTTTCCCCCTCTCTCCCCTAATCTATTTCCTTCCGATTCATTTTGCTCTACTTCTTTTACTTTCCTCTATTTTGCCATCTCTCCCATTCCGAACGGGTGACACCAAAAAACGTTAAAAGGTGTCGGGTTCGAAGTAACAAAACTTACCCTGCGCGGTATACGTACGGGTGCATGCTAATCTTTCAGCCTTTCAGTACTGCGGCTAAAAAAAATAATCCGGTGCTAATCTCTTCCCCCTCTCTCTATTTCTTTTTTTTCTTTTTTTTTTTGCTTGGTGTTGTTCTTGCCCCTACTTTGTTTATTTATCGGACTGTCTGTTTTTCTCAGTCATCACCTCTCCTTTTCTTTCTCTGCTTTCTGTGTTTCCTTGTTCGTCCGTCCGTCCATCCGTCTGTCTGTCTGCCTGTGTCTCTGTCTCAATCTCTCTCTCTCTCTCTCCCTCCGCTTCTCCTCATTCCCTTTAACTAAAGTATTTATTTATCCATTTCAGTCACCGACAACACTCCTAATACGACGCGACAGGGTGCCACAGTGCCATCTGTTAGGGGATGCCGGGGAAAAGAGGGGGAGGGGCAAGGCAAGCATATCTAATCAGCTCCAACCATCGGTACTTCTCCCTCGACAGCTCTTGACCTCACATACACACGTGGTCGTCAACCTTTTGAATAGGCACTCGTCCGGCCATTAAAAGTAGTCCTGGTCTTGCTAAACATTTCACCACTCTGTAGTCCTTGCACAGAGAAAGATATGCACGCACACAGACAGACAGACAGACACACACACACACACAAACACACACGCACACAAACACATACACACACACAAACACACACGCAAACATACACACACACACACAAAGACCCCCAACATGTGCGGCAGCGTTCCTCTCCTCCGCTTCTCCTCATTCCCTTTAACTAAAGTATTTATTTATCCATTTCAGTCACCGACAACACTCCTAATACGACGCGACAGGGTGCCACAGTGCCATCTGTTAGGGGATGCCGGGGAAAAGAGGGGGAGGGGCAAGGCAAGCATATCTAATCAGCTCCAACCATCGGTACTTCTCCCTCGACGGCTCTTGACCTCACATACACACGTGGTCGTCAACCTTTTGAATAGGCACTCGTCCGGCCATTAAAAGTAGTCCTGGTCTTGCTAAACATTTCACCGCTCTGTAGTCCTTGCACAGAGAAAGATATGCACGCACACAGATAGACAGATAGATAGACAGACAGACAGACAGACAGACAGACACAGACACACACAAACACATACACACACACAAACACATACACATACACACACACATACAAAGACCCCCACAACACGTGCGGCAGCGTTTCCTTACATATTTACTAGCCATGACCTCTGCCACTTCTCCCCACTCCCCCCTTCTCCCCTGTTCCTAAGGCAGCGTGACTCAGGCCGCGACCTAGTCTGGTTCGGTCGTTCACCCTCCCTCGCCCTCCCTTCACTCTCTCTTCCTCTCGTGCCTTACCTACCTACCTATCTCCCTGCCTACCTCCCTCCTCCCCTTCTCTCCCTCCCTCCCTCTCTCCCTCCTTCCTCCCTCCCTTCCTCCCTCCTCTCTCCTCCCTCTTCTCTCTCTCTCTCCCTCCCACCTCCCCTGCTCCCCTCCAGAGTGAGAAAGAGAAAGAGAAAAAGAGAGAGAGAGAGAGAGGGAGTGTGTGTGTGTGTGTGTGTGTGTGTGTGTGTGTGTGTGTGTGTGTGTGTGTGTGTGTGTGTGTGTGTGTGTGTGTGTGTGTGTGTGAGAGAGAGAGAGAGAGAGAGAGAGAGAGAGAGAGAGAGAGAGAGAGAGAGAGAGAGAGAGAGAGAGAGAGAGAGAGAGAGAGGAGATTTGACCCCTCACCTTACTGAGGAAAAGACCGTTACACGATGCACGTACAGTACGTATTGTACGCCGCTAACGTACCTGCCCAGAAACGAAAGGGAGGCCGAGGAATCCAAAATGGCCCAAG